GTAAAAACACAACACTTTAAAAAATGAAAACCCTCAACACACAAAAAGTGCTGCTAGTGGGAAGCAATCAGCTCTCACAATACAAAGCAACAGCACTTGCAACAACAACAAGCTAAGGAACAAATGGACTTGACCAGTGCTGGAGGGTTTTCCTTCTTTAGCACAGAGCTGTGTTCAAGGGAAGACAGGAACTTTTAAACCCATGTTGCCAGGCAACTGAGAGCCACAGGGATGGTATTAAAAGGGTTTTTGCCACTTCCAGCAAGAGATGGAAAAAATAATTGTTGAAGCCTCCATGGAGCCTGTTTTATTATTTTGCTCCTTTATTGAAGCCTACCAACGCTCCATGCCATGCTGAGCTCCCCCAAAAAAGCTGCTACTAGAGTAAAACCCAAATGGTTATGAAATACTGTAACTAGCCTTCCCCCACCCCAAGATCCCAGGTCGGATCTAGACACCACTGTTCAAAGTGTACAAGAGGATCCTAGGCACGTATGTGTATGTTTATGATGTCACATTGTGAGAGTTGGTTTAGTTGACTGGGGAGAGAAAGATTTTCCACTAAAAAACCTTTCAGTCACTTGAGAGGCCATGTGCTGCCTTTTCTACCACACGGTACAGTCTCACAGGTGATAAAGGGTAACCACCTGGGTGCAATGCAGTATAGAATAGGGAATGTTTTAATTGTAAGGTGTAAGAGATGGACTGCCACCTCTTACTATGCTATACTCAGCAAGTGGTGTAGACCAGACTCCTCACTTCCTGTACTCTCCCTCTACAGTCAAGTTACTAACTTCTCAAGTGACCAGGTGTTCTGGGAAAGCTTCCTTGTATTTCCATGCCAATAGTCATTTTAAAAGGTTTTCTCTTGAAAATGTGCTGGGTCAATGCTGGCACCTCATAAAAAGGCATGAAGAAAGCCCTGCTAAGCTGAGCCCACTTACCTGCTGCTGCTGACACAGCAGCCACCACTGAAGTGTGTGCCTAGCCACATGCTTCTGCTGGCTCCAATGCAGCAGCTGTGCCAGCAGGCACAAAGTGCATCTTGGGAAGCCACCAGCTGTATCTAGACAGCGCAGGAGCATTTACATGCGCTTCTGCTGGCATCTGGACAATAGTGGAAGCCTTTTTTGATCTAGGAGAGGTGGAAGAGCTGTCAGCACAAAGGGAGGTTCTGCCTCTGCAGTAGAGCTGGGAGTGGACACGCACTCCAAGTCCTGCCCACAGGGCACTGCAGTGCAGACATGTGAATCTCGGCTTTGTACAGAGCAAGGGAAGCCACAGGAATACGTCTATTTTTCTCATGGGACAGGAGAGCCTCTACTAGGCCACTGAGAGCTCCAAGTGCAGAGGATTCCTTTGCAGTCTATTTATGGGCATTCCTTGTAAATCCAGGGACGCTTCTTAGTCATTAACATTCAAATCATCTTGCAGTGTCTCAGCCCTGGGTAAAGCTGATCTCCCAGAGCCTATTGAGCTTGGGCTTTGTATTAGCACCAATTTGCTTTCTGGACATTTATATAGAACAAAGCACATGTCCAGCAGCAGGAACAAGAAGACTGGAAATGCAAATGGGAGCTCACTGAGCACTTCAGGATACCATGTGTAAAAACTTCTCTTCACGTGCACATGACTCAATGGCATTTTTACCAGGTATAAGGCAGGTTTTAGTTCACCCTTTATTGAATTAATTTAAGAAAATGTTAAGAATTCTTTACATTATGCTAACAAAGGAGTTTAAACAAAATACTAATGGGCAAAAAGCCAAAGTGCAAAAGGAGACACACAGGCAGGGAGGAATGAAAATCTTACAGCACAAGGACACCCAACTATACAGCCCTAGCTTACTGGCCCTTTGGGAAGCTTATTTCAGTCTATCTCCAGATCACTGTCCTCACTGAAACAGGCAGATGGGTTCTGAATGGAGGTCAGCAGCACCACATCCTTTTCTGGGAGCAGACCACATTCCTGCAGAAAAGCCTCCAGGTCCACAGCAAAAAAATCGTCTCCAAGCTGGTCAGTGATTCGCACAAAGTTGCCAATGAGCTCGCCTCCCTTATAGATCAGCAGAGCAGGCAGAGCACTGCTGGTAAAGCGAGTGCTAGCACCGATGAGGGAACTCTTTACTCGGCAGAATTTGACCATTGGGTATTCAGCAGCAAGACAGATCATGCAGCCATTGAGGGATTCAGAGCCAGGGATGTCATCTTCATAAATATGGATCATGACCAGCGTGCTCTTGTGTTCCTTATCAATAGTGTCCAAAAACCCTTCCCCAGTGGTGATGTCAAACACCTGCTTGAACTGCTGCCCACTGTACAGTTGTTGCCTCATCTCCTCCATTCGCTGCTTCCTGTACTGCTGTAAAAATTCCTCATCGTCTTGAGCATCGTGAACCATGTTATACTCTTGTAAAGTCATCTACAAGACATACAAAAAAAGTGTCACAAAGAGGCCAGAAAGAATCCACACTCTCCTGCACATTTACTCAACATGTCAATCAGGGTGGCTAGTGGGCCTACAGCAGTACTCACCTTTAATAACATCTGAGAGTGGGCCATGGAGGCCAGAGCCCCCTGCTATTCTACTGTCCATTCTCACACCAGGACTGTAGAGGCCAATGATTACAACAGGTTCCTGTTTTATTCCATTGGCTGTGGCTATTAGTGGAAGGTCCTGGTAAGCTGCTAATGCAGCCTCTGAATGGAAAGTCATTTAGGTGCTGTGCCTGGGGACTGTCAGACACCTGGTTTGTTTTTGTACTGTCTTTTTCATTATCAGCAAATCCCTTCTAGAAGCTTTTCAAGGTTTTTTCTATAGCAGATGTATAATACCTTTGACAAAAAATGAATTTTCCTGGTTTGCCTATGGATTTGGGATTAAGGGGCTTTTAAGGGTCTCATCTTTCCATCTCTGTGCCTTTGCTGCATTAGGAATGTTTGCGATTATGTTAGGTGTAGGAACAGTTAATTTGATCCTGCAGCAGAGTCAGAAATTGGATAATATCTATCAGCAAATGGGAAGTGATTCAAAGAAACAACAGTTGTCTAAAATTCAGAAAATTCCCACCTTATTATAATCCTAAGGTAAAACTAACTTTTGGCCCTGATTGTGACCAGTTTTAACTAATATAACATGCTACGCTAGCTTACAACAACATCAGCCTGTGTCATTTTTGGAATTTCAATTATACTCATAGGCACTCAAAACTGTATTTAAATGATGATCACCTCAACTGTCCATAACAGTTGAGAATTAAATTAATTTTTTAACATACATTTATTGCACAATTCAGTCAACTAGGACTCCTGAACTAATTAATTTTCACAACAAAATTAGTTTGTAGACAGACGGTGTGTCTACATGAGATGCTAACTGAATGGTAGTAATAATACTGCAGTAGCATGCCGATCAAAAACCGTGCTAATAAGCTACTGTGCAGTGTGATTAGGCAACTGTGCAGTAGCTGTAGTTACTGTGCATTTAGTTAATACTTCATTAAGGAAGTACTAAACTAAATGTGCAGTAACTACTGCGCATTAATGTGAACACGTAGACATGCCCAGAGTAGCTAAAGTTGCGCTATGGCCTTTTTCACTGTTTCTCAAGTTTACCATTATTTAATACAATTCATGCATGATCCCTGAGGAAGTAAGGGGAAGTGTCTGGCACAGACCCACCCCAACAGTGCTCCTGGACACATCACTTGTTCTTAACAGGAATGTGAACAGCCTTAAAATATTGCACAAACTTTAAATAACTGGGATCTAGATCTCATCTTCCTCTGTCTTTAGTTTTCCTGTCTGAGAGAAAGCAATAATTCATACCAAACTCACAAGAATGGTGCACGAATTCATGATTCTGGCGAGCAGCTGGAAAAATAAAAGGGCTAACCATTTGTCTCCTAACTCCTGTGTGGCTCATGTTACCTTTCCATTGAGTTTTTCCTGAAGCTCTCTCTGTTTCTGTTTATTCTCATCATCATCTAAATGAGATCTACAGGTCATGGACAACTTCTTTATAAGTCTTTCCACTTCTCGGCGTTGCTCCTCGCGTTGTTCTGTCTCCAGCTGTTTGAATCTTCGCCAATCATTAATGACGCCTTTTGGACCTGAAGATAAAATGCAAAGCATTTCAATGTACTGTACAGACCGCAGCCAAATTACAGCCCATGTTGGAGGCTTATTGTATACTGCTTGATATGCTGCAATAAAGCACAGGAATGGGAGAAAGTAACTGATCATTCCGATGCCCCTAAGAAAATCACATAGCTACTCTTGGTCTGTTTTCCTCCTGGTATAACACAGACTTTGTACACAATTTACCCATCTCAAAAATACATTATGCAGACTAATACCCATGCTCCTTGAAGCATTACCACCAAGGCTCAGAGGTATCCTCCTTTGGTTAGCATGGAAATGTTTCCTCTTCCCAAGTACAGAAATGCCGGAAAAAGGCTAATTGACTAAAGCTGCATATGCCCTTGAACAAAGCAGACATTGTCAGTGATGGATTACATCTTGCTATTATGCGGCTGCTGGGCCCTGGGGGAACCTGCTATTTATGGATCTATCTAGAACTGTCCCAGTTATAAATACTGATTCCTGCCCTTCAGTAATGGATGGGAACATGTACAGGAGAATAAAACTTAGTCTGTCCTAGAGAAGCAACCAAATATAGGGTGCCAGCCATTCTGATGCCAAGTGGCTGGCTTACACTACTCTATTTGACAGATACCCGAACAATCATGCCTGTCTCACTTGGGCAGAACCTAACTGGCTTTGCTTACAAAGCTGTTGTTTGTCAGGAGCTGCAAGAGTCTTCAGGCAGGAAACCAAAGGGAAAAATACAGCACTTGCTATGAAATGACAACTATAATGATCTGTAACTAATGCACAAGAGAAAGGAAGGAAATCTAGACAAACTCAATGCATCTGCAAATAAAACCAACGTTTATAGCTTTACATGGCGATACCTGTGTTAATGACACTGCCATCGCCAGTTAGCTCCATTTCCCCACTGACAGGATCATGAAGGGTGCTCTCGTCTTTATCTTCTTTCTCGCTGTCTTCATCTTCTCCCTCACTACTGCTGTAGTAATACTGGAGTTTCTCTCCCAGCAATTTGTCATCCAAAGTAGTCATTGTGCTCTAAAAGATGGATACATCAACATCAACACCTTTCTCTGTCCAACACATACAGTAGTACCCAAAACAGCCTCAAGTTACAACAGTGGCACTATGTTCCCCCCCCCCAAAAAAAGATGAATGTGGCTTATGGACCATCCGCAACTAAGTTATGTTACAGACGGCCCCTTTTTTTGTGAATTAGCTTATCATCATTTCAGGTGTGTTTAATAAACCAACTCCTACCCCTGCCTTAAAAAACAATCTTTTTGTTTTCAGGCTACACTGAGAAGTTCTTCACAATGAAGCTGCTTCTGTACTGAATAAAGTATACCATAAAACTAACATTTTTTGTTTTTAAATTAAGGTTATTACTTTACTTCACCTGGGCCCCCAAGAACAGACTCGGATTCTAGAACTGGTCTGGTTACATGTTTTTCTTCTTGTTTGCTTTCTGACAGCGTTTGTGCAACAATCAACCTCGCAGCCATGGCTGATTCTGATCCGAATAGTAACTGAATGGCAATATTCCCATTTTATGAGATAGCCAAACATGTGTATTCAGTGAACCAGCTCACAGTTTAGACTACTCTAAAAAAAAGTGAAAATAGCAATTTGTTTCCTTGCCAAAAAATCAGCTGTGCAAAGAAGCAGAACGATTGTGCGGTCTCCAATCCCAGCCAGGGCAGGGAGCTGATTTCGGCCGGGGCTCAGTTTTAAAAAAATCGGTGACTAAACCTGGAAAATTGAGCTATGCAGCGTCCAGAACAGAAAAGAAATGCTGCGCGTCTCTGGGAAAACTGTTTGGGCGTTTAAACCTGACAAGTCCAGAAAAACAAAAATTAAAAGCTATTTCTAAGCGGATGAAGTCAATCAGCTTTTTAATTTTATGGGACGCCTCTCTTGAACGCGTTCAGATGTGTAACAGGAGCAGTGAGCAATGGGCTCGGGCTGCAGCGGGGAACGTTGAGGCTGGGCCTCAGGGAAGGGATCGCTGGGCCACCTCCGTCCGCGGAGGTGTTTTAGGCCCAAAGGACGCGGTTGGTGCGGGTCCTCGGGCTGGGCTGGAAGTGACCCCGCACCCCCCGCCCTGCGGAAGGACCCGGGGGTGAGGAGCAGGCCCGGACTCCAACCCCCGCGCCCCGGTACCTCAGCACCCCCAGTCCTCCTCCGGCGCCGCCCGACGCCTACTGGTGCCGCAAAGCACGGCGGGAAGGAGGACGGTGCCACTCCACGCGCGCAGAGGAGCACGGCACCTCCCCGCCTTGCGAAGTGGTACAGGCCAGCGGGCGCTACCACTTCCTACAACGCGGAGGCGATGGCTCCCCCTCACGCAGGAATGGATCGGGCGGCGCAATCCCAGGCGGAAGCTGTCCACAAGCCCCGCCCCCAGGGAGGGGAGCTGTCACGTGCTGGGGCCTGCCCGTTGCCTCCAGGGGGAATCTGGGTGGAAGGAAGAGGAGCGGAGGGGGGAAGAGTTGTTGAAAGGGGACTGTGCCAGGCTGCGGGGAAAAGGAAAACCACTTTCTTGTGTCTGTTTTTAAGCTACCTCTTTCACGGTGTGACCCCTGGTTCTGGTGGGCTGAGGGGTGTGCAGGCACCGTGCGCACCTGCAGACCCCAGGTGTGCACGTGTGCATGCTCCAAGTGTGCAGGCATTGTGGATTTGGGGGAGGGTGCTTTCAGCTTTGTTTGTCATTCCCTTGGTTATAACCCCTACTAGAAAGCAAAGAGCGAGTGTAAAGGGTCAAGTTTCAGGGTGGAGAGCAGTGAACGGCCTGCCCCGGGATCTGTGCTGGGCCTGGTGCTGTCCGAGGTAGTCAAGTAGAGGCACACACGCTTCAGGTGGACAAATAGTTTTTATTTTGTGCATGCAAATACAGGTCAAGTACTGCAAACTCCTGCCATCGAGTTTCTCTCGACACTGAAAACCATGATGCTCTACCCGTGAGCAGCCAAAGCTAACACCTCCTCACTTCAGTGCTACAGCAAACACACACGACTCACTCTGCTAGTCAGCACCGTCACAAAGCCCCAGCCCCA